TACAGAATTCAGAAGACAAGTTTGGCGAGCATACGTATGCCGTCAATAAATTCTCGTCGGGCCAGTACATTTATGTGGGAACGAGGTACAGGTTAAAACGTGTTTATCTTTTCGTACAATTGAGTCGTGGGAATAGGGGGGGAGGGATCAATAAGAGAACGCTGGTTATGAGGGCAGGGTTTGGTTGAGCAGTCTAGGGGAGGGAGGAGGGCAATATAAATGAACTGGCCCTACGAGAATTTATCGAAAGCATACGTACGCTCGCTAAACAGGTCTTCGGAATTGTTTTATGTCCCTCTTGTTACCTGTCCGTAGAGTCTGGGTTTTTTTTGGGGGGTGGGTTGATGCTAGGTCAGATTTAGTAAGGTTCGGGTTGGATTTGAAGTAGGTTTAGTATGTGGGTTAGGTTTCTTATGGTTTGAGATAGATTAAAAACTGAGAAATCTATTCTCTTTCGGATGTAATTGCAAGGCAGCCTGCTGTAGATTACTGCTTTAACCTGGATCCAGCCTTTGTTTTCAATGTGAGCATATATGAAATAGATTCGACAAAGCAAAGGGAGACCGGAATGTACATTTCTGGCTTGTTAGCCGTCATCAGCCAGTTACACCCAATCTCAAGGGTTGGAACTCCCGAGACTCGAATCCGGAATCGTTGACGGCAGTCGCGTTGTTTTATACCTGCAATTAAACTGCTTAAATGAAGAGCCTTTCAGTATGTGCCAACGGAATGCTGAGTGCAGTTGGCGTGTATGGGCTGGTCACCGAGATTCCGACGGCTTTTCCACAATAAAGCTGCTGCAGGCACAGTCGAAGAATTTGGCTGCCGCTGGAATTGCGAGAAATAAGCCAAGAAATTAAATCGAAACCACATAGTATGTATTGTTTTCAAGGCACTCGATTTAGCTGACGCAATTGTGAAAAAAAAACTCGCAGCATCGGCATGAGTCGAACCCTTACTGAAGGGAAGGCCTTTATCCAGCCAACGCTGTACCGATTTTTCACACAACTGAGTCAACTTAATTAAGAAAAACTACCAAAACCTCCCTAATACTCGTTTTTTTTAAATCGTTACTGGTGACAAAAAGCTGCCGTTTTATGATAATTCGGGAGATCTACGAAACATGTTTGTGCTATGCATCTCATGGGAAGCCAAAGAAATGGTCTACTGTGATTTGCTGAAGCCAGCTTAAGCAGTTAATCACTTTGATTGCAACAAGTGACAAAAAAGGCGAGCATATGATGGAAAACATGAAAAGATTATTTTCCAACATCACAGCACTACAGCTTACCTTGCACAGAAATTTCGGAAACATTTTAAGGTGTAAACTGGAAATCAGGCATCCCAAGAAGTTTTCTTTGATGAAAAAGATGTTCTTTGCGATAAATAGTTAAATATAATCAGTGGATTTTCGAGACTGGTACCCCAGCTCCGGCTTCTCCAAAAAGGCAGGTAATGTCTTGGGGCTATGCAGACCGACGATTCATGCATGAATCACCATAAAGAGCTAGACGGAATTTATAAACACCTCAAAGAACAGGGGGAAAAAAAGAAAGTTGACAGACTGACAGAGGCTACAAATACGAATCAAGTCTCACAACATATGACTTCTCCCGCAAGTTTGAAATGAAATTTGTTCTTTGTAGATTTCTACTTAGCCCGAAGAAGAGCCGGGGAACCAGCCTCGAAAATGCACTGGTTAAATTTACCTTTTTATTCCAAAGAATATTTTTGTCTTCTAACTCTTTAAGATGCCTCGCTGGTAAGTTCTTGTCATGACGCGGCCTAATGTTTGGACTTCATAGGAACCGTTAGCTTGTCCGACTGCTGTTCCAATGCCAACATGGGAGTGGATGAGAACATTATCCTGTTGGGATTGTGAATGGTCGAGAATGTGCGAGGCCCAGGTAGTGGAATAGAAGAAGGTAAGATGTTCTCTGGGACCATTAGTATGTTTCTCCGACGTTTCGGACTTTCCCGCGAGCTCATTGTCAAGTAGTGTTCGGATTCCCTACGTTATGTTCACATCCATTGAATATGCAGCTCTAGAGGAGCCGAACATCTGATTGCAGCCACCAGAGCTCTGTGGCCACATCTAAGGCGGGACGCAGTCAATCGCACATTGCTGGCATGCAGAGAGGGAGACGCGCACACGTCCCGCTAATGTGCGATTGACTTGTTGTAGGAACGGA